TGCCCCGAGCACCAAGAGGAAGCAAAGGGAGATTTTTAACCTGCTTTAGGGACTTCAGTTCCCAGAGGCTCCTGCATGGGAAGGGGGAGGAGGCTGGGAGCAGGGGGGTGCACCCACCCATGCAGTATGGGGTGCTGTTCCTGTATCCCCTTTGGGAGAACATACAATGTTAGAAAATAAGGGCTAGAAGGGACCTCAGGAGGTCATCTAATCCAATCCCCTGCTCAAAGCAGGACCATCCCTAGCTCAGGGGGGACTTGGTAGCAGTCTACAATTATATAAAAGGGGTACATCAAGACCTGGGAGAATAGCTATTTACCAGAGCTCCACAAGGGATAACAAGGTCTAACAGCCATAAACTCCAGGAAGGCCGATTTAGACCAGATATAAGAAAAAAGTTCTTTACAGTGTTGGGGGTTAATTACCAATTTAATCTCTGATTATCTGAGCCCGCCCACCATTACAACGGCGCTGTGTGGTGAGGTGCGGTGCGTGTGTCCAGGGTCTGGAACAGACTCCCCCCAGAGGTGGCGCAAGCACCTACTCTGGACTCTTTCAAAAAACATCTGGACATTTTTTTCTGCTGGGATCACTTGATGCCAGCTGACTTCCTGACTATGGCAGAAGGGCTGGACTTGATGATCTCACAAAGTCCCTTCCAGCCCCTAATGTCTATGAAATCTATGAAACTAGTACCACCCCTGGCTAAAAGGTTCTGTTCCTTTCAACAAAGAACTGCTTCAGTTGAAAAGTACACCTAAGACAAACTCTGCCTAGAAAGTGATGCTTAGTCCCTGGGTGCATACACTAGAATCAGCAGTGTACAGCCAGTATTGGTAGTCTTGTCAGGGCATCCTTCACTATAGACGCTTTTCATCATAAGCTGCTATTTTCAGTTGCCTGTAACTTTCCCAAACAGACACTGGGCTGAAGTTTTCCATGTCAGCTTTCTGCCAGAGGCAAATTTGTGTATGTGTGTGTTGTACGTGTGCGTGCGTGTTGTGTGCATGGTCATGTGTATGTAGGGTTACCATACATTCGGGTTTTCCCAGACATGTCCTCTTTTTGGGTCATTGCCTTCCAGGCAGTTTTTTTTTTAAATATCAAGAAATGTCTACGATTTTGCTCTGTCTCTGCTCAGCATCTAAGTTTTTCCTGGCACTTCTCGGCTTGCCCCACTTAGGAGCTGCTTGGGCCTGTGGGGAGCAGGGAGGGTGACTGGAAGCTGGGGTATCACATGGGTCTGTGCATGGCTCTGGGCAGCCTCAGATAGGTAAGGCCAGGGCTCGGGGAAAGAGAGACAGAGAGTGTGTGCGTGTGGCAGGGGAGATGCCTGCCCCTCTGGCGGGGGAAGGGGGTGAGGGGGATTCTTTGGGGGCAGCTGGGAGCTGCGTGGGCAGCAGGGCTGGGGGGACAGGAGGCTGTGGGTCAGGAGTAAAGGCACCAGCAGGGTGGGGGGGGCTGTGCTTTGGGAGCAAGGGGCACCAGAGGGGCAGGGAGATTGTGGTTTGGGAGCGTGGGGCACAGGCAGGGCCAGGGGCTGTGGATCAGGAGTGAGGGGTATCAGCAGGGACAGGGGGGGCTATGGGTTCAGAGTGAGGGGCAGCAGCAGGGCTGAGGGAGATGTGGCTTGGCAGTGTGGAACAGGGGCAGGGCACGGGCATATCACTGCCCCCTCTCACAATCATATCACCCCCCCAACAGGTGTCCTCTTTTTTGAAACAAGAAATATGATAACCCTCTGTGTGTGAGTGTAGTGTGACTGTCTGTGTGTGTGTATGTGTATGTACACAGGGTTGCAAAGCTTCAGCTGCAATAGGCCGTTTCAGGGAACTTGGTTAGGGAAACACTCTGCTGTTTCTATTTGTGCTTTAACAAGACAAACTCTTGGCCTTTTCCTGGCCAAAAGCCTCAGTACTTTGGGACCAGAGCCTTAGTGCTTTGGGACATTTGGAGACCTGGTCGAGAGCTGTAGCAGCAAGCAGCCTGCAAGCCAAATGCTACAACAGAGGCAGGACAGGAGAGAACATGTAATAGTGGACTGGGGGGTTTGCACAGCTCTTCCTTACAGGAAAGGGTGTTGGTTGTAGCCGTGTTGGTCTAAGCCTCTAAGGATATAGGCAGACAAGGTTATTTAGGTAAATGTGGGTGCATCTACATGTTTATGAATGTGCTTTAGGTAATTGTGTCGGCGAGGCGCCACCACAGGCTCCTGAAGGGCAGAGGGTAATCCCTGCAGGCCCCAAACCCCAGAAACAGACCCCCGTGGGGGGGTGACTTACCCCCTGCCGGGCAGCCAGCACAGGAACCGGGACCGCGGCTGCAGCCATGTGAGCTGGTGTTACTCCAGCTGTTTAATCAGCTGTTTCCTGCGCAGGAAAGTTTAAAAGCCCCACTGGAACCAGGGCAGAGGGAGAGCAAGGGAGAGAGAGCGCTCGTGGGCAGCACGCTGGAGCTGCTGAGGCTCCAGCGTGGAAGAGGAGTGGCACAGCCTGTGAGGTTCCTGCAGGCCACGCAGGGGAAACTTCTGAGCCCCCTGCAGTAGGCAGAGCAAGGGAAGTCCTCCAGCTCCCCGCTGAAGGCAAGCTAAGGGAAGCATTTAAGCTCCCTGTAGGGAGCAGGGCAGAAGAGGCATTTGACCCCCTGGAGGAGGCTGGGGTCAAGAAGGCAGCTCCACAGCCCTCTCCTCCTCAGGGGAGAATTTCTTCTGAAAAAAAAAAAAAGGAAAAGGGAAAATCAAGGAGCCCAGAGAAGGCGGGCCATGCTTCAAGGCCGGAGGGAGGAGAGGCATCGGCGTCCACACTGACGGGGCACCCCACCCGAAGCAAGCTGCGGGCAACCCCGCAGGGCCAAAATCCCCATTCTACAAACACCCGTCTGGCTGGCGAGTGGACAGGGTGTAGGGGAGGCGGAGCACCATGGAACATCGTGCCAAACAATCGTGAGTACTGCTGTTTGTCGGGAAGCCCTCCCAGGAAGATCTCCACTGAACCCCCTCTCTTGATAGTTTAACATCAAAGTCGTGACAGGAGAGTTGAGGGGCAGGGCTACACACCCGTCAGACTGTAAAATATGTAAGGCCCCAGAGATCACAGTAATGCACATTAAATATACTACCTCCATTGTGAGGTACTAGAAAAAGGTGCATTAGCCTATTTTCATGCACGTTAGATAAAGAGCATGGTTTTTGGTGATGCTTTAATGCACATGAAAATAGCTTAATGCACATGAAAATGAACATATAGCTGTGCCTTGTGATATCTTTTATTAGACCAACTAAATAGTTCCAAAAAACTGTTCTTTGAAAGCTTTCTGGCACAGGTGCCCTTCCTCAGGCATAGGTAGAGTCTTCTCGTCTGTGTCTTCTCTGTAGGGTTGAATAGAAGCTTAAGCCAATATGCAAAATGCAGGTCTGTGAAAATACAAATGCATGGCAGGGAACATCAGAGGGAATGGGTGTGAGACAGGTGGAGGGCAGACGGGGGGGAACAAAACAGGAAAATATTAACAGGAGATAAAATATAGCAGGGAAAATGTAAATTACCTGGGGTTATCTGATGGCAGGAAGGTTATAATGTGCCATAAATCCAATGTCTATATTTAGTCCATGATTTCTGTATCCAGTAGATTTATGAAGTGAAGTTCATAGGCTCACCTACACAAGGTGTTTTGTAAATTCCCTTTGAAGATTAGAACTGAGAGACTGGAGATAGAGTTGCTTTCTTGTAACAAATGTGCACCCACATACTCCAGCACCAACATTTCCTTTTTAGACACTATGGTTAATATCCAGAATGGTGAAATACAAACCACCATACATACCAACATACGTATTTCCACAGAAACAGCAATCACCCTAAATACACCAAGAACACTTTAATATTCAGCCAAATCCTGTTACCACCAAATTTGCACTCACAAATCTCAAAGGGGATTTTGCTCAATAAGGACACTCCTCCAGAGATACAGATCACATTTTAAAGACCCATCAGGGCACCACCTGAAGAATTGCTGCAGTACAAGGAAAATCCCTCATGAATCACACATCATTAGTTATGACACTAATCTTCCTTAGAACCTATATGGAAAATCCTCAATTGCAACTCATACTAGAAGAAAACCCAGTTCTTAAAAAGATCTTTCCAGAACCACCCATCCTAGCCTTTAAATGAGCACCGAACCTTACCAACCTCATCACCAGAAGCAAACTTCCTATAGACCAAAACACACCAAATGGATCTAGACCATGCTGGGACAAGAAAGGTAAAACCTGCCAACACATCTCCACCACTCCCACAATAACTACACCCCACAACAGAACCATCAACATTCCTGGACCTTACACCTGCACCTCCAGAAATGTAACATATTTCATCCAGTGCACTGAATGACCTGATGGAAACTACATAGAAGAAACCAAACAACAGCTGCATACCAGAATGAATGCACACTGAAAAGGTATCAAAGACAAAATTAACCAGGTCCCTGTGGGTGCACATTTGTTACAAGAAAGCAACTCTATCTCCAGTCTCTCAGTTCTAATCTTCAAAGGGAATTTACAGAACACCTTGTGTAGGTGAACCTATGAACATTGCTTCATAAATCTACTGGATACAAAAATCATGGACTAAATAGACATTGGATTTATGGCACTTTATAACCTTCCTGCTATCCCATAACCCCAGGTAATCTCTCTACATTTTCCCTGCTATATTTTATCACCTGTTAATATTTTCCCGTTTTGTTCCTCCCCTCCATCTGTCTCACACCCATCCCCTCTGATGTTCCCTGCCATGCATTTGTATTTTCACAGACCTGCATTTTGCATATTGGCTTAAGCTTCTATTCAGCCCTACAGAGAAGACACAGACGAGAAGACTCTACCTATGCCTGAGGAAGGGCACCTGTGCCAGAAATCTTTCAAAGAACAATTTTTTGGAACTATTTAGTTGGTCTAATAAAAGATATCACAGGGCACAATTACAGGTACATTTTAAACCGTTTTTTGGGCTGGGCAAATCTCTATCCAGAGATGTCCAGAAGCATCCCCTGGTGGCACAGAGACATGGTCTGGGGTGGTCCAAAAAGGATTTCTGGGTATCATCCCAACCCAACATCCAGTTCCTTATTCAGTTCCATGTATTTAGCACAGCGGCTGGGGTGCTGGCTGTTGTCAGCCTGGCATGGCCAAACTGTGCTTTAGGCCCTGCAGATCCCTGGTCAGAGATGTCCAGGACAGTCCCACAGTACCACAGTCATGTTCTGGGGTGGCCCAAGAAAGATTTCTAGGTATAATCCCAGCCCCAAATCCAGTTTTTTATTGGGGTGCATACAGTTAGCAGAGTGGCTGGGGTGCTGTCTGTTGGCAACCTGGCATGGCCAAACGGTGCTTTGGGCCGGGCAAGTCTCTGGTCACAGATGTCCACGCCAGTCCCCTGGTGATGCAGAGGTATTCTGATGGGTGGCCCAAGCAGAATTTCTAGCCATAATCCCAGCCCGAAAACCAGTTCCTTGTTCAAGCCATTATACTTAGTACAGTGGGCATGCCGGCCGTTAGTTGGCAGGCTGGCATGGCCAAACCGTGCTTTGGGCTGGGCAGGACTGTGGTCAGGGGTCTTTGGGACAGTCCCCCAGGGGCATCGCCACAAAAATTGGGGTGGCCCAAGTATTTTGGCTCATAATCCCATCCTAATCTGGCCTTTCTTTAGGGCTCTGTACTTGATGTGAGGTATTATTTTACACATTAATTAGTACATACGCGTAACTAATGAAATTCTGTCTGTTTAGGATGTGTAATTCATTGATAACAAGTTTTTATTGGGTCTAGATCAGCTTTGAAAAAGGAACTGGGAATAAGGAATCCAGGGAACCGGAAATAAGAAACCAACTTCAGCCTCATCCTGGGGAAGGAGGTGCAAAAGCGGCGGCGCGGGAGAGCAGCGCAGCAGCCTCCGACTGGCCCCATCCCCGTGCGCGGAGTTATGAGGTCCCCCAGCGGCCGTCCGCTGCTCTGCACCGGGGCCCCCGCCCGCGGGACCTGGACAAACCCGGTGGGGGGGCGAGGCCCGGTAAGGCACAGCGCGATGCGCACGCGCGGGGGCGGGGCCAACGGCCGGCTAGATCCCCGCTCGCAGCTGTTGGTTGTTTACATCACAGGCTGCACAAGCCGGCGCTGCCCCGCCCCCTCCCCAGGCCCCGCCCCTGCTCTGGGTGTGGCGTCGTGGGGAGGGGCATGGGCTGACTGCCTCACCAGCCCTTTCCCTCTTGGTCTCTGAGCACGAGGGGGCGGGGCCTTCACTCTAGCCCCCTCCGGCAGGGCCTGGCACTGCCTCCCGAGTGGATTCTAACGCGCGTGCGCGCGGGGGCGGGCCGAGGCCAATGCTAGTACCTCCGGGTTCTTCCTCCCGGCTCTGCCCTTCCCCCGGCCCAGCCCGGCGGCCACGTCTCCCGGAAGATGGAGCCGAGGGGCCGCGTCCGGCCTGAGCCCTCCGCGTAGCCGCCGCGGGCCCTCGTCTCGGGTCGGAGCTGCAGGGCTCGGGGGAGGAG